AATATAATGAATACCACTGTTCACAAAAACATGAACTTTGCTAGTTAGTTGTAAAGATGAAAGTCCTCCATGTCTCATTTTTAAAAATAAAAATAAAGAGACCTCTTGTTTGACTAAAAGGAATTCTAACCAATAAATTCTTCTAAAAAGAAAAGTCTTCATGAGTCTAGATTGACTTTTTGGGTCATTAAATCTTGTATGAGGCATGTGAAAATAGCTCATTGGTCACTTCTACTCAAATGAATCAATATGCAACGATGAAATAATCTATTGTTGTGGCAGTAGCCTCTGTCTTATACTAGTGCATCTCTGCCTGTCTCAAACCCCCTACCCCCGGAGTGTGAGTTATTTGTGAACCAGACTGTATTTTGTACTTCTCAAAGGTACCCAATAATGATCTGTTCACTGAGTGAATGAACAAATGAATGAATTCATTGGTATTAACATCTAAATTAATAAATTCAAATATCAAAAACTTAAGTCACAGAATAACCAGCACCATATTATAGCATGTTCTAGAACAATAGTTAATATATTGTTCAATGCTGAGTCTCTTTAAAAACCAAATTTTGAAAACAAATTAAGATAAGCCCTATTGGAGTCCTTTCATTCAATAAGCCTCTACTGAAAAAATAATCTTTTCAGGGTATCCAGAACTGAACTGCATGTTCTAGGGCATTTTTTTAAAGACGGTATTACGGTAGCTAAAGTATACCAAGAGCAAATTAGGAAGAGAAGTCTGCAAAGTTAAGGCTTAGTTGAATTAGAGTCCCTAGGCTACCAATAAAGGCTAATTCCCAAGGGGGTCACAGTCAAGTAAATAAAAAATCCAGCTGAATTTTATCAGAAGGCAAAGTTTCAACTCTGAGTACCCCAGCAACCCAGGATGAATTATGTATAAGATTAGTACAGTGCCTACATCCACACCCCGGCCAGAGAACATTCTTCTATCTCACTGTGACTGAAGGAAAAACAGCAATGTGTTTGCCTGCCAAGAATAGTTGCAGCTATACTCAGATAGGAGTCTAACAACACTGAGGGATTAAAATTTAATTGTAAAGCTGCTGCTACCTGGGAGTGAAAGCTTGGACTCTGGCTTCAGAAATAAACTGGGGATCCAGCATAGTGAATAGATGAAAACCAGAGGTGGAATGTTATTAACAGAGTGTGAGAATATGCTCCCTTCCTAAATTCTTCCCCAAACTTCTTCTCTCTCTGTATATCATAGTAATAATATGCAAGAGTGCTTAATGGGAAGACAGGCCTTTGCCATGCTTTGAAGAACAGACACACATTTCATTTCCAGAAGGCTGGAAATTACAGGATGAGGTCAGAGGGTGGTTATGTGGTCTGAATTTCCCTGAATATCAGTTCTCTTAATTTTGTTGAGCATCATCTGAGCCCAAATAGTTTCTTCTTTTGAAGCTGGCTGTCAAGACAGAGCTAAGGCAATCTTAATGTTATTACAGAACTAAGAGAGGTAATTGAATTTTTTCCTCAAATTCAGATAGGATACCATTAACCCCAATCTTTTACTAGGCCTCATCAGCATTGAAGAACACACCCTATTGATACAACTACTAGAAGTACATTTGCTACCCAAAACTCCTAATTTAGCAAAAAAAAGCCCAAATGATGATATTTTAGACCAACAGTTTATTCTTCTCTGTTAACAGCCCCCGCCATGATCCTTCACAAACTAACCTTTTGATTTTGAAAGAAGAGTGGGTTGAAATGTAAGATATATATCTTCTTACTTTACATTAAAGCTTTTTTTTAACCATTTCAGAGAGCCAATTGTATTCTTTCTGAATCATTACAAACCATTGCCTACTGTTTCTTTAGCACTACTGCCCATAGTAGACAGAGAGGCTGAAGTTCTCTGTGTACGTGACATAAATGACCTGTGTTCTTTAAGTGGCTTACTAGCGAGAACCAGAATGAAATTAGAGGGAATCAGTTTGAAGACAGAAGCAAACGTGCATTCTTTAAAGCATCCAAGTCCACCGAAGAGGCCCATACTGCACAGAGATCTCCGGGCAGCTTATTTGTCTGCTTGCGTCTCTGCCCTTGCAGTGAGCACTGCTGTACTCTCAGTGCCCTCTCCACTCTCTTCACTTAAAACTCTTCTCCACATTAATCTCCGGTAGGAAGACTGCCTTAGAAATCCATTTTACCATCACCACTCCACCATTCTGTAACCCCGCAGCATACTGTTTTTGGTTTAAAATGTATTCTTTTGTACTTGTTTGGGAATTAAGTTGTGAAGTGCCATATATACCATGGCTAACGGGCCACCCATTGTGTGATTTCGAGCTGATCACTTCACTTGACCTTGACCGACTCAGACTTCCCCATAACACTGGACGAGCACAATGTACCTCCAATGGCCCTGGTCAGAATAAGTGAGAGCGTAAGTACAACCTCTTAGAAAAAAGATAACAACTAACTGCAGTCCAAATTATTCTTGGGTTAGAATTATAATACATTATTGATTCTTTTGAGCATTACAAATTTGATTGGTAGGGGAAGGAACTAAGTTCCACTCAAGAAAAGAGGTATAAAGCTATTCAAGATTATAGTTTTCTTCTGCAACAGTAAAAAAGAAATTGAGACAACTGTAATTAGAACAATTAAAAAAGAATAATTTTCTTCTGTATCACATTGTTTTCTCCATTTAGAGGAAGGACTATGATGAGTCTCCAAAACACAGAAATGTTTTCTGAAGCAAAACCCAGCAGGTTTCCTAATGTGAATTCTAACATCACTAGTGCAGTGGGTCTCGCACAGCGATTTAGGCCAGCGTCTAGGCACAGCTCTTCTAAACACGCTGCGCAGTTGCTTTGGCCCACGTGCCGATGACCGAGCAATAAATAGATTAGCAGCAGTTACTGACAGGACGTCCCACACTTTTGCACGGAGACTTTTACTTGGAGAAGGAAAATGATTCAATTACTGCCAAATAAATTCAGGGACAGCTTTTGTGAACTTCATCTTTGGCAAACACATGTTAATAGGAAAAGAGAGTGCTTTCCACAAACTTCAAAACTAAATTGAACCCTGGGGAAGGGACATAGACATGCATTAAAAAGTACATTGTCCGCTTTTATTCTTTTTTCCTTTGAAGAGTTCATGACTAGAAAATTTGGATAAAGAATAACATTAGTGATTTCACAAATTTCTTGCCCTGGTTCTTTTTGAAAGAGAATAATGAGAAGGAAGTATGAGAAACAATACCCTTAGAGAAAACAGGGGACATCTTTCTCTTGCTACAAATATGTCAATTAATAAATGAAATCAAAAGTAGAATGTGCCAGACTGCCCAAATAAAGACTTCACTGGCACTAACAATGGAACAAAATATAAATATTTAAAATTCTGACCTGCAACACAATAGGCTCATTTTATTAGCAGGATAATCTTTGGGAAAATACTTCAGATATATTGCTGGAAGTAGCATAATTACAGAATAATATTTTATAGAACTATAAGCTTAGTAACAATTCAAGACATTTTAAAAACTGTATCAGTTTTTATGAACTTGAAAAATAATTAGTTTTCAAAGTGAAGAAACTTATCTTATTTGTCAGTTTAATTCCTGCATGTGGCCCTATGTATTCAATAAAGAAAATTATAACTATCAGATGTTTTTATTATTAATAAATCAAGTTAAATGGAGGATATTAAAAAACCTTTCACTCACAGATTTCATGCCACTTTTTATGACAATGGAAAATATAAAAACCTTTAAAAATAATATTTTTTCTATTAGTATATATCAACATATAGTTACAATTTCCTATCAACTTCCCTAGTTCTGAGGACATGTTTGCCCTGGAAATATGATGAGAATAGTTGACAAACCTCAAAAATTTTGATCACTATTCAGTAAAAGACATTTTGGCATATATAACTGCTTATTATTTTTTAAAATATAATTCGGAGAGAAAAATGTTAATTATTTTTGGGCAGGGACTAAAGAAACCCCAGTGAGACATTCTGTAGAGAGGTCTTTCGTTAGTATAACATCTGACCTTCTATATCTTTGGAAATCGTGCAACTTGGCTAATGTAGCCCTTAAAGAATTAATCAAGCAGATTGTTAGGCCCTAGTTACAGTGGAGCCAGCCAATTATGAGTTGCTCAGAAATTCATCACTGGCATGTCCAACCACATTTTCCCACATAAAGATTAGAAGAAGTATGTGGAAACAGGGCCCATTCCCACCCCAGCACAGCTATAATACGTGTTCAGTGAAACAAATGTCAACAAAGTTTTGCCTTAGTGAAACAAACAATTTATTTGGGAATCTTTCTGATTCCTTTCTTTACCATAACACTTTTTTTTTTTTTGGCCAACATTACAACTAAATAGTTAAAACCAAATTAGGGATTTTTATTTTCAAACACCCTCCTGAATTCAGAGCACTAAAGTCACATGCCACAAGCCTGAATTCATCAGTAAGTGACTGAAATCCCTAAAGACCAACACTATCTTTTCACTGTTGTGATAACACCCTCCCAAGGCTTACTAAGAAGAAAGCTTTGCTTGCAATAGAGAAGTGAGAGGGGCCAGAGTAGATGAAGACTGGCTCTCTAAGGAGAGGGCAGTGCTGCTCTTACATAAAGAAGCTCCTTTCAGATAAGCAGAATCAGATTCCAGTTCATTTGGTTTGCTGGCTACCCTTACTTTGAACCCTCATATTTAACCCAGCAGGCTTCAAAGCAGGTGAGAAAATGACCTACCACTTAAAAGCAACTTTTCCTTTTTCAGGAATTCTGACCTTGGAGAACATCAGCTCTACTATCAGCACATTCCACATCTCCAGGGATTTACGCAATTTTTTTCATTGCCCTATGTCCAATGTCAGGCTAAATTTTATCTCAGCCAGGAAAGAAATCAGAAAAAAAAAGTCCTAACTCACTGAAAATGAAGTCTTATTCCATATCACTTTATACCACACAAAAGGAGAAAGGGAATGAAAATCACGGACCATTCTAGTTTGTTCCCTTCCATTTATCAAAATCTGATACACAGTGAGGGTTATTAAGAATCATTTATCCTTAGTGCCTTGCTTCACAAAAAAGCAGTTTTTGTTAACAAATACATCTTAACAAATTCAAACTGAATTTACTTTAGCATGTGAGCTAATACAAAAAGATATTAGATGAGGAAGAGACAATGGTAACAATGAAAGAAATTTAGGACATTTACTTAAATTGCTTTGCCTTACTAACAGAAGACAGTATGTTTCAAACAAAATTTTTCATTTGTTTCTACTGTATTTAGCCATCAAATATCTGACTTAATTGAAAATCCTAACTTAGGCAGTTGAAAATCTAATAGGTTCTATTCTACAAGACAGTTTGCCACACCTAGAATGTGAAACACTTCTCCCCTTTGTATGGTCCACATATACATAAGGTATTGGAAGTATAGTACTCATAATATTGCTCAAATGGTTACACCACCATTTATACTGCAGTTTGTATGGGACATGCATTTTGAATTTACTCTCAGGACATAGCTCTCCCAGACGTGAAAGGGGGAGGATTTCCTGCTAAGCTGCACTTCGGTGACAATGACAGTGACAGTGGTGACGACAGCTAACACTCACCTGGTTTTTACTATGGGCAGACACGGCTCTAAACACTTGACATATTTTAAACTCATTTTAACCCTCACACACACACACACACACACACACACACACAAAACTTGTGAGGTGGGACTATTCTTATTTTACAGTGAGGGGGAGAAAAGGGTAAATAACATACGGGACACTGCACAGCTGATTAGCATCAGGGTTGAACTTCAAAGAAAAGCGGCCTGGCTCCAGAGCCTACCCTCACAACCATTCAGCAATGCTGCCCTTCTCTCCCTTGATAAGACAGTACTCTCCAGGTGTTCTAAATTCCTCTTTTGGGGTAGAGCAGAGCATCACTGCTCGTTTTCAAGTACCTAAGGGTCACCTAGGGATCTTGTGAAAGTGTAGATTCAGGAGGTCTGGAGTGGTGCCTGAGGTTCTGCAGTTCTAACGAGCTCCTGGCCGTGGATGGTGACGCTCCCAGTGCATAGACACACTGTGCTAAGTGGTAAAGAGGTGGGATGTGAGCCTCTTGTTTCCTTGCTAGCTGGCTGGCCAGATGTTGAGTCAAAACGTTATGTCTAGAAGCTGGAGACGGCTCATTCCATAATTATTTTCTATTAATTCTTTTTTTAAAAATAATCACTAAGTCCTTTTTTTATTCATTGATTTTTTACAGAGATGGAGAAACATTGATTTTGTTGTTCCATTTATTATGCATTCATAATGCATAAATCCTATGTGCCCTGACCGGGGACTGAATCAGCAATGATGGCATATCAGGATGCCACTCTAACCAACTGAGCCAGCCGGCCTGGACCATTTTCCATTAGTTCTGAAATGAAACCTGCCCTGGAGCTTCTGTGTACCAAATATTGGTTTGTAGATAATTTCAGTAAATACTTAGCTTTTAGGAACTTAAAATGCGTATGTGAAGGCCACAGGGACTGACTGTAAAAGTTGGCTGTCGGGCACGTTTTTAACACTGTATATCACCGACTATACAAATACCAAAAGATAGTAAATAAATGCCTGTTCACTATTCATGAACTAGAATCACAGTAAATTAATAACTTTTGGCCTAAAAAAGAAGCTTCCACTTTAAAATTATGATTATTTATTCTCAGACTCAGCTAGAGGGAGCGCTAAGGAGCTTGTGCATTGCAACCTTAAAGCCTCTGCTGGCGCACCAGTGGTCTCTCAGGGAGAGGCAGACACCGCATGCTAACATCAATGGGCAGAGCAGACAGTGAGCACACTCCGCGTTAATCTTAGGCAATACCTCATGGAAGTCCACTGCAATAGCTGCCACGTCTCTATCCCAGATTGCAGATCTCCCTCCGAGCTCTATTTCACCCCCTTCCCACTGTCCTGAGAGAAACCCAATATTGAAGTAGCTCTCTCATGGCTTGCCTGTGATCTCAAACATACAGCTGCATATTTTTCCCAGTTGTTACACGGATGGGATTCCCTCTCTAGTTCATTTTTTCCCATGCCAGACTACCCAGCAAGGTCATCTCAGTTTGAGGTGCACTCACTCCCCGCTCGGCACAACTGCAAACAACAGAGTTATGGTATGATCACCAAGCTTCCTTTTCACACTGAAAGAAAATAAGATAGTCAGTTTCCAACCCAAATATCTATAATCCCTGAACAACAGTGGAAAGTCATTCTTCTTGAAGCTTGACCCAAAATCAAGTGTGGTCTCAGACTCCTAGGCCTACAGCCAGTGGCAACTTAACACATTATACAGTTGACCTTCAGGGAAAAAGGGAAACCAGTGCTCTTTACTGCTGGTGCCAGAAGAAAACCAACTAATCTTTAAGGCACAAAATAAACTATTCTTAAGGCAGGAAAAGAAACTGTAAGGAAACAGGGATTTAGAATGGAGGTATTTACAGAAAAATACAGAAATTATATTACCAAGTGAAGGCTAGTGTTTTTATGGTTCTTAGTGCTTTTCAAATTGGGAATAAATGAATCGTGATTTTCTTCTTGGGTTTGAACTCTTATTACTTGGTAAAAATGCAAAGAAGTACAAGAAAGACACATTTGTTAAAGGCTTAGAAACTTAAAGGGACTTATTTTTGGTAATTCTACTTTAAGCCAGTGATATTAACTTCTAAGTTTACGTCAAAGAGTAAGTAATCATGAGATAGCCTCTCTAATACCAGCCCTCAAGTGCTTCCTGGACCTGGATCAGGAAACGGGGAAATATTTTAAAAGTAAAGCGCAAAACTGAAAATAAAGGTCTGTACGTGGTTGTGCATTCAGCTTTGGGGAAGATCAATAAGAACAGGCAAATATAATAACAGGGAAAACCTCTGAGTGAAGAGGCACGTCCTGTCCCCAGGGCAACTGTCCTAGCTGTCCCATCTTAGCTACGTGCTCTCCATCTTAGTCACATTCTTACATTTAAAGTTCAGCAAATACTGAGAACTAATAATTTCATTTAAATTTTAAAAGTCAAAGAGCTTGTTTACAAAATAGGGATGTTTTTTTGAATGCCAAAGAAAATGTATTTAAAAGAACAGGATTATTTTTTAGTTAGTAACAAGTGCTATCTCTACCACCAAAAATTATCTACAAAGACCAATTTTAAAATACTATGCCATTGTATTCTTCAAACTTTTAGGCAACAAAAATATAACTCAAATCACCAAAAATTTATGTTTGATATGTTTATGGCAGCAACTTTACAAATCAATTCCTGTAATTTATTAAAATAAGTTTCACCCACTGCTCAACTGGTTTAGTACAAACACATCAGAGAGAGTTTCTTTTGTGTTTACAGATACTCCACACAAGTCCTTGAGATCATACTTACAGCTTTAGCAAAAACACCCATGATTTCAGGAAACTGGTGTGTGAGAAGAGCTATCATTGCTGTAGAAGAACACAGTCCTGCTGTGAAATGGATGAAAAAAGGAAGCTCCTTCTTTGGGTAAACAGAAACATGATGAAAGGCTGCAAGGGAGAAAAGGTAGAAGTGGGTTTTATTTCAGAATACAGTGTAAGTCTTAATATTTTCAAACAAAATCTATTTTTAAAAACCAAAATGGAAATTAATTAAAAACAACAAAAAAAGAACAAGTCTCTGGCCAAGCAAGAAGAAAGTCATCGATAATTTATTCCGGTATCCACAGCGTATTTACGTAGCCAGATACTGTGCTGGGGACTGGGACTAGGATGGTATCGTGGGAAAGAACATTAATTGTAAAGTCATGCTGAGGTGGGTTTGAAAAAAAGCTTTGTCACTTATTAGCTGTGTGATCTTGAATAAGTTGCTAAACCCTCTATTAGTTGCTATGGAGTTGTTATGATGAACTTTGTAAGCCCTTAATAAATGTCAGTGATTATAATTCTTGCTGTTTGAGAGCTCAGAGACAAGTATAGTGATCAAGAGATGGACATATGGTTGGAGATTTCCCAAAACCATCAGTTACTAATTTTACCCAGTTATTCTATATGTGGCATTTCATTGAGCAGTATAAAAATCAAAGTAGAATACTAAAGCCCTAAGATTCTGAATATAAGTGAAGTCCCTTGTCTTATTTTACCACATTTAAACATTTACTCAGATATTTTTCTAATAATTGGATATTCCATTACTAATAGTATTCAAGTACTGATATTTTATTCAAAATTTGAACATACTTGAATAACAATGTTGAGATGAGCTTATGACAATGCTTCTGCTTGGCACACAGTAGGTGCTCAATAAATGTCTGTTGAACTGAAAGCTACTCTGGGTTTTCATTAGTCCAGGAAGTTGACTGCTCAGAGCTGGACACAAACCCAGGAATTCCTGATGTAATATCCTACATAAGTAAGGGATGACTAATTCAGTGCTGAATCAAGGTCAGCTATAAATTTCACTTTTTTAAACATAATGATTCACAGAGAATATTACACCTAAGTTTCCTTCAGTAGACATGATATTTTTATGTCTTATACTATATTCATAAAGTATATACCCAAAACCAAACTCATTAATAATGTTAAAAATTTCCAGGTCCTTGAGCCATGTTTAAAGTGAAAGCACAACAAATCTAATTTTAAAAAAAATTTAGAAACATTAGAGCTGTGGACAACACTGTGCTTTCAGCACCCAAAACCAGCACTCCTTTTTGCCCCATCCCTCAGCCAGGAGAGGCCAACTCCTTCCAGCAAACGTAGAAACAAATCATAGTATTTTCAAAGACAGGGAACGAATACTTATGTCTACCAATGGTTACTATAATTGCTATCATGTGAGATATAGCAAAATTAATATTGATTAAACTGTACAGCATTTTATGTTTTAAGAAGTACTTTTTAACATATATTACTTTAAAATTGTGTTAATAACCCTAAGAATAGTATTATTTCCACTTTATAAGGCAGAAAACTGTACAGCGGTATAACATAATTTCCTAAAATATGAGACCTAATAATTTATTTTTGCATTACTTTCTGTAGATTCGTTTGTCAGTCAATGTTTGGCTAATACATCAATATAATGAATGACTAGCACAGAAACACTCCCTTGGAAGTAAATTTCATCACTGGCTTGTAGAGGAAAATTTATCAGGAGGCATAAAAGACAACTAAATAGCTATGTGAACTAAGGGAATAGTTCAAGTCTGAACTTATGAGGTTCATAAGCAAATTCCAGAATGCTGTAAGTAATATCAAGGTTGAAGGAGAATTGAAACAAAAAACATTAAGTACTCCTGAGTATTAGAACTCCACATTATTAAAAATGTGTTCCTTCTACCACAGTCAGAGACAGAAAAAATACCCTAAGAACATAATATAATCAAACAACGCCCCCCTGCCCAGCATATCTCTCCTCCCCAATCTCCTGGAATTTGCAAATGAGTGGCACCCTAGAAATAATAAAGGCCTGCCAAGAAGCAAATTGTCTGTTCTTACAGCCTGTGGCTCTGATAACACCTAATAATAACCCCGACCTTATTCATATTACTATGTAAAGTTGGCTTTACATCAGGCAGCCTTTGTAATGATTTGGGGGGCGTTATTTTAGGCTAACACATTTAGCCTAAAATAATACACTTTTGAATATTGATGTTCCTTAAGTAGAGATTTGTTCCTTCGCCTTAAATAGCCTCGTTAAAAAAAGAAAAACAAAACCTTGTTCCTATTAAAATGGAAAAACAACAAGAATAATTACTGCCACCACCATCCTAGGAAAGAAAATAAAATTTCTCTCACCAATGACCTTCTAATTGCCAAAGTCAATAGATTCTTCTCAGTAATTACATACCTTACTTAGTATCTCAGATACTCCTCCTCATTTGAAAATGTTTTCCTCCTTTTAGTTTCTAGGATATCTAGTTCTGCTTCTTGTCCTGTCTCTCTGACCACTCCTTCACGGAATCTTCCAAACTCCTTATCAGCCACCCATTCCTTAGACATTTTTGTACCCCCATGGTTCTACCCTTAGTTTACTTCTCAGGCTACACAGTTTCCCTTAGTGGTATCATTCATGCCTAGAAAATTATCACTAGGCAATAAAATACTTCATTTTAAATTAACATGTGTATGTGTATAAATGGGTATAACACATGAAATGCACTGAACTTATTTACTTCCCCCACTCCTATTCCCAAACCCGTTCTTCCTGCTGTATGATGAATTTACCATTCAAGTCACCCAAGTCAGATTTAGGAATCATCCCTGACCTTGGAGAGCTAGGCACTCCCCATTTTAGCTTCCTTATAATCTACTCCATACATACAGCATTTAGCACATTGCTTATCAGTCTTTCTATTAACCTGTGAGCAACTTCGGAGTTCAGAGTCGGTAAGGAGGAAGAGGTACTAATAGTTAACATTTCCACTGAGTATGTACAATGTACCTTATGGTAAACATTATAGGTATTCATAGAGGAACAGTAAAGAGAGTCCTGGCCTTCAAGTTTAAAATCCAGAAGGGGAAGAGTACGAAGTACACAAAGTACTTCAATAGTTCAAAGAAAGGAGAGATAACTTATCTCAGAGGATGGAAGAAAATAAAAGACCCTGGGAGAAAAATATCAGCACACTCAATTTATATAATCTCTCCTACATTTTCATCTGTCTGTTTGAACTTTTCAGCTCATTAAGTCTGATGCTTGTAAAAGTACAACTTTCCTTCCTAGACTTCAATTCTAATGGCCCCAGAATTGCAAAAACTATGGCATAGGTTTATATCGTATAAGGAAACATGGTACTAGTGTTTATTACCTTCGGGCTTATTGGTAAAATCATAAAAAGCAAAGTTAACAGAAGTTCACCAGCTCACAGAGAAGTGGGCGGAGGACAGGGAGTGAGCGGAGACAAAGCCAGGCGGACTGCTGGTGGGGCAGGCTGGCTGCCCGGGCAGTGAGGCGGTGGCCTCGGCAGTCACACCCCTGTATGCGTCTGCTTCTGCTCCTAACTTTCCGACCACTCTTTTAAAATTGGGAAACGTAGTCTGTCCAGCTTCATTCTTCTTTGTGAAGATTGTTTTGCCTCTTGTGGGTCCTTTACCTTTTTGTATAAATGTTGGGATCAGCTTGTCAATTTTTGCAAAATTCCTGCTGGGATTTTGATATGGATTGTACTGAATCTATAGATCAATTCGGAGAGAACTGCCATATAAGTAATGTTGGGTCTTCCACTCCATAAACATGGAATGTCTTTCCATTTATTCAGATTTCCTTTAAATTTTCTCATCAGTATTTTGTAGTTTTTAGTGTATAAATCTTATACTTCTTTTGTTAAATTTATTCCTAAATTGTTTGCTCTGTGATTAGAACTATATTTAAAATGTCAACTTTGGACTGTTCATTGCTAGTATATAAATATAAATATAAATATAAATATAAATATTGAGTTTTGTATGTTGATATTATATTGTGTAACCTTGCTGAACTTGTTTATTATAAAGTTCTAATAGTACTTTTATGGGTTTCTTAGAATTTCCTACATAGAAAGTCGCCATCTATGAATAAAGACAGTTTTATTTCTTCTTCTCCAATGTGAATGCCTTTTGTTTCTTCTCCTTGCTTGATCGCACTGACTAGATGCCCCAGTGCAGTGCTGGGAGCAGAGGGGGGAGCAGACACCCTTGCCTTGTTCCCGGTCTCAGGGGGAGGTGCTCAGTTCTCCACCATTAAATACGGCGTTAGCTGTGCGTCTTTCATAGATGCTCTTTATTGGGTTGAGAAAGTTCCCTTTTTTTCCCTAGTTTGTTCAGAATTTTTATTATGAGTGGGTGTTGAATTTGTGTCAAATATTGTTTTTAATCTATTGTCCTTTATTCTATTAATATGGTACATTCCATTTGTAGATGTTAAACCAACCTTGCATTGTGAGGTAAACCCTCCTTGGGCATGGAGTATAATCGTTTTTATGTGTTGCAGATTAAGTTTGCTACTATTTGGTTGAAGATGTTTATGTCTCTATTCATAAGGGATACTGTTCTACAGTTTTCTTGTAATGTCTTTGTCTGGATTTGGTATCAGGGTAACACTGGCATCACAGAATGAATTGGGAAGTATTCTTTCCTCCTTTATTTTCTGAAAAGAGTGTGTAAAGTATTGATAATATTTCTTTCTTAAATGTTTGTAAGATGCCTGCCCTTTTTAATATCTTTAATCTTTGTGTCCTTCGTTGCATCTAGCATAGGCTTTTACTCCAAAAACATTGGGGAATTATATTATGCAAATCCATCCAAGAAATGGCTAAAATAATATATAAACAGTATCCTGAATTTTAGCCAAAGGTACTTTGATAATGGAGAACACTGTGGAAAACAATCTTACCACCACTTCTAAGTTTAGGAAAGACACAGTATTTACTTACTAGGTAACAGCTCTCTATCAGCAGTCTCTGTGCAGCCAGGGTAAGGGTAGAACAGATGGCCTTTCTCTAATGGGTATGGTATCATTCTAAAAGCTGAGGGAAAAAATACACATGTTGGTGTTCAATTCACACTTGTTTTCACCTTATACTATATATCAAAGCTATTCTAGAGACATTTTCATAACATTTTCAGGAAACATCTTATGTTTCATCTTTCTTTCTTAGAGACACATTTTAATAAAAGAAACAAGGTAAGCAAAAGAATGACTAAAAGGAAAAGTAAGGTTTATTTAGAGAATAGTGAATGGTCAGGCTGAAATAAAACTAAAGGGAGTACTGGATGACTAAAGGGAGACTGTCTGGGTCCCTCTGGCCTCACTCTTCTTATGACAAACACAACAGACTTGACTCTGAGCACGAATTCCACTTCCTACAGTAATCTTCACAGAACTGCAACACGTATAACTGTTGTGGCCATACTGCTGGCAGCTTAAAAGAGTCCTCGATGGCTTCTAACTTCACATGTGAGATGTCACTGTTTTCTATGAGCAGGGCTTAATTTAGATCGGAGTCACCTAAGTATAACCCTTTGGCCAGACCTGGCCCACTACTGGTTTTGGTAAACAAACTTGTACTAGAATGCAGCTGTGCTTGTTCATTTATACATTCTGTAAAGCTGCTTCCATGCTGCAGGAGTTGGGCAGTTCTGACAGAGACCACGGCCTGCGAAGACAAGCTATTTACCATCTGGTCCTCCAAGGAAAAGTTTACCCACCCTTGATCTGGCCTGTCACCAACTCTTACAGATTTAAAAACAAATTTATTTAATGATTTTTGAGAGACAGAGACAGAGACAGAGGCAGAGGCAGAGGCAGAGGGAGGGAGGGAGGGAGGGAGGAAGGAAACGGGAGGGCGGCAGAGAGAGAGAGAGAAACATGGATTTGTTGCATTCATTAGTTGTTTCTTGCATGTGCCCTGACCAAGGATCAAACCCACAACCTCAGCGTTTTTGGATGGCGCTCTAACCAACTGAGCTACCCAAACAGAGCTTGTAGACTTCTTAAAGCAGGAATTCTTATTCATCTATAAAACTAGCTAAATTGTGATAAGATTTTTGCTTTTGCTTTAATGCCTCTCTCTAAACTTCTATCAAAACATGGATTTTGTTGGGCCACAATAAAAAGTAATTATTTGTCCAACATCCCAGAGAAAATTAGTGATAACACTAGGAAATCATGCATTAACATGATTATTTAGGAAATACAATGTAAGTCACATACTTATTGAAAACCTCCGTCAATGCTAGGCACTGAAGACACATACTAGGTAAATGAGATAGAGTACCTGGTTTTGAAGAGCTTACAGAATACTGGGAAAAAAATCAGAACAAAGTCTAATAACCCAGACATGCAGCTCCTCAGTTTTAGCTGTCCCAGTTTCATTAATCTGTATAGCGTCAGTGACAAGCACAGTGTTTGACCCTGAAGTCAAAGGTTCTTACATTTTCTTGGTTCAAGGACACATGGTGTCCCCTTTCTGTCTTAGTAATTTTTTATGATGCCCATAGGCTGAAAGAAATATCTCACAATTCCACTTATTAGGTAGTGGATCCAAACAGCTTTAAACGTTTATGTTCTAAAAATGTACCAGTGATTTGGAAAAAAAAACTCATAAATTAAAAGAAGAAATCATTTCATTCTAACTAACCATCACTCCTTACTAATGGGTACGTGAGTCTGCTGAGAGCCACACAGCTTCTCAGACCCTGGTACGAGGTTGGACGGTGCTAGCTTCATTTCCTGTTCCACACTGGTTTCTGTGTGGTACTTCTTTTGATCACAAAAACTAACGAAGCCCCACCTTTGCAAAGCTGTGACACAGGAAGAAACAGGGACTGGAGAGCCATCTAACTGTGAAACCATGAGCTACCTAGAGTAATAATCTGAATGGTGTCTGACAGATGTTGATATTGCTGTGTTTCCAGCGAACATTTAAAATACCCCTTGCCGCTCTGTGAATACACTGCAATGCCCCCAAGTGCCTTAGTGCAAAGTTTGGAAACTGACGGGGTTAACCAATTGTAGTGACTGAGCACTGAATTTATTTTTGAATGTGTATGGATAGCAGAGGTGTACTTCCCAAGAGAATTATTATAAGAGTCAACTGATAAAATATTTTGATTGAGCTTCTTCATTTTCTTAGTGATTTTAAAAAGTTACAAATAAGAGATCTGGAAGTTAGTTAAGGAACAGACCAGTTCTCCCAAGAAGATATACAAGTGGCCAATAAACACAGTGACAGATCAACACCACTAATACTAGGACACGCACATCAAAACCACCATTAGACACCATTTCACACCCATTGGAATGGCTATCACTGAAAAACAAAACAAACAAAACAGAAAATAACAAGTTTGATGAGGACATAGAGAAAGCTAAATGCTTGCTTATTTCTAGTGGAACATAAAATGGTGCAACTGCTCTAGAAAACAGCATGGTGGTTCTTCAAAAAATTATACACAGAATTTTCATGATCCAAAAATTCCACTTCTGGGTATATATACCCAAGAGAACTAAAAGCCGGAACCTGAGCAGGTATTTGTACACCCACGTTCACCGCAGCATTATCCACAGCAGTTAGAAGGTGAAACAAATACTCACCGACAGTTGAATGCCTTAGTAAAATGTTGTATATACACACATTGTGGAATATCATTCAGCCTTAAAAAGGAATGAAGTTCTGACACATGCTATAACATTATGCTAAGTGAAACACACCAGATATGAAAGGACAAATATCGTCTGCTCCCACTATATGATATACCGAGAGTAGTCAAACTCATGGAGACAGGAAGTAGAATGATTACCAGGGAGAATGGGAAGAATGGGGAGTTATTGTTGAATGCACACGGAACTTCAGTTTGGGATAATGAAAAAGTTCTGGGGATGGATGCTGGTGCTAGTTGTACAATAATGTGAATGTATTTAATGACACTGAACTGTATACTTTAAAACGGTTAAAATGATAACTTCCATGTTATATGTATTTTACCACAATTTAAAAATTTTAAGAGTAGAATTGATATCAGTTGTGACAAAAGTAGTTTCATGTTATACACAACTGAAAATAAAACAAAACAGTCAAATTTAAAATATATTAGAATAGCACAACCACATTAAAAAGCTTATAAACCAAGGATTATTAGTTATCATTTTCTTTCCTTACAAATATGTAGTTTAAATGAACATGTGACAAAATACCATAACAGTTTCTCATTCTGCTTTTCCTAAATGTGGCAGCAATATAAGTTCATTAAATATCTCTTCTACCAATAAACCAAACATAACACCACTGCGTTCACAATGAAACCAATCTGAACAGCAAATCCTTACAGAAACTCAGACAATCTCATTTAAAAAGACTGCCTGTGAGTGCAATGAATAGTCGGAGAGATCAGGGTTACATTTGGAAAAGAACACTTACTGCCTTCCCACGTACACTGTAACAGATTAAGAGCACCTTCTATCCGCTTCCAGTGCTGAAGATGAAAGAAAGCATAGGCAATTGCTTCACTATCACCCCGTTTCAGAATGTGTTCTGGAGGTAAAATTAGACTTTTCATCTCTAATAAATACTAAAAAACAAAACAAAACACAGACACATCACAGAAAAAAAAGAAAAATTAAATTGCGTTAAATTCAAATATCCACAAAAATGTAGATTCAAATTTTATAAAGTCACAAACATTAAACTAGTTGAAATGACATTCAAGATCCTATTGATAAATGTATATAAAATGCTTTCTATGCAAATTCCAAGGGCGAGAATATTTCTATAGGTAACAATAAGGTGATAAGTGGCTTATATCTAAACTTGCTAAACACGAAATGGAAACTCAAGCTGAGGTAATATGTGAGAGCAATCATTTGTTTTTCCAAAAACTAATTAAGTGTAAAAATTATAAAACACCATTTTGTATCAACACTTTGTGGCAACATTCCATTTTTTTTCTCATTCCCATTTACAAGGGATGGAACTTAATTGTGAAGAAGTTCAATTAAATTAATATTTACGGAGAGCAAAGCACTTGCTTGTTAGATAATACCAAAAAACACTTTTATTGGGGAAACTTTATAATGCAATGAGAAAGATGGAGTTCTTAAATTAATAATTATAACCAGACGGTGCTAAGTGTTTTGTCAGAGGTATAAGAGTGAATATAGGGATAGGGATAGGAAGTACTAATTTTTAAATTTAGTTTTTTATAATAGCCTTATTGAGATATCATTTACATACTTCACAATTCACCCATTCACAATACACGACTCACTGGTTTTCAGTATGTTCGCAGACACGGGCAACGCCAGCACAGCCATATTAGAACACCCCATCGCCTCGGCAGGAAACCCTGTACTCGTCAGTTACCACCCCTGCTCCGCTGTTCCCTCTAAACCCCAGGCAACCAGTGATCTGCTTTCTGCCTCCATAGATTTGCCTAGTCTGGATATTTCACACAAACGGAATCACATAATAGATGGTCTTTTGTAGCAAACTGTTTCTTTCACTTAGTAAACTGTTTTCAAGGCGTATCCACGTTGCAGCATGTATCTGTGCCTCGTTCCTCTTTGTGGCTGAATAATATTCCATTGTATGGATGTAACACACTAGTTTACCCAGTCATCATTTGATGGCTATTTGAATAATGCTGCAAAAACATCCGTGTACCAGTTTTTATGTGAACATTTGTTTCCATCTCTCTTGGGTGTATACCTGGAGTGGAGCTGCTGGGTCATGTGATAACTCTAGGTTTAGGAGGTATTAATTCTGCTTAAGGGGCTGAAAATAAACCTCTTGATGGAATTTGGGATTTGAGCTGATATACAGAGATGGATGGAATGTGGATGAGCGGATTGGGGGTGGGTGGAGAAAAGAACAAGAGGACATATTCAAAGTACAGGGACAACAGTGAACACAGGCACTGAGCCAAGAGAACAAGATGCATTTAAGGGATTAGTGGGTGTGCTTGTTAAAGAAACTATAGCCTATCAATTCTTACTCATAGATGAAATTAAATTCTGTCTTAAATTCTTCAAGAAAATACTTGCCTTAATATTAAAATCCGTAACAAAAACAGTATAGTCACAGTTATCACACTAATCAAATGTACTAATTACATGAAGATGCAAAGTTAATCACTCATACATCATCTTTACTATTAAAGTGCTCAACTTAAAACAAAATCTTTTAAAATTTTTAGTTAGCTGAATACTTCCTGCAAATACTTCCCCTACGAAAATAGGTTTGAAATGATCTCTTTGGTTCTAAATAATGTGATACCAAATTATGTGTCATAAGATTCAAACCACATTAACTTGTTATAAAGTATAAAGAGAGAAACATTCCAGAGGTGTCTCAAAAGATATATTTTCACATTTCAAATTCTAGATTCCTCAGATTATTGCACAAACTAATGAGATAAACAACATAAATTAAATAGTTGAATTTGTGAAAAACACTTTGTAAAACTGCTACAAGCAGGAAGAATCTTCAAAACAAAAGAAGTGCAGTGGTTTCAGTATTTAAGCCTTAGGTGATCAATCAATATGTATGTATGCATCATATTATCATATGTAAAATCGTTGTTCTTATGAAATGTGTCTTTCCAGCACTTACTGAGCTTAACGCCCACCTTTGACGACTCTTACTCCTACACCTCAATAAAGCTGAGGTTCAAGAAAAAAGAATTAATGTTAGTCTTCATGTTTCTGGCTCTCTCCTCAAAGTGTAAGAATGCAATCTGCTCATCAATTTATTTTAGCAGATGTCACAAGCTATGAGATTATTTACTAATCCAGTTTGGGGACTTAACATTTCCCATTCAGTTTCTTAAAGGAATGCAGCAGAGGTTGTGTCCTGGTCAAGCAAAGCCCATTTGCTGCCTGGTTGGGTTTTCTCCCCTTAGTGCCTTGGGCCTATATTCAGGAGGGTAATATTCTTTCTAATCCTCTCTAATCCTTGCCCATTTTTTTAAAACACAGTAAAAGATCACTCGCACCAGGCAGCTGTGGGAAAATGGACTCAAATAGCTGACCTCTGACATGACTCCTTATGCTCCTTGCAAGTGCACGAAGAGCTTCTTCAGTAGGAAGCAAAGAAAATGCAGCCATCACAGTGAAATCTCCATCACCAGAAAGAGTACCTCAGTTTCAGAAGAAAACTTTTTAACACTTAAACCAACTCATTTGTATTAAAATTCTGCCTCATTTTACAGATAGGGAAGACAAAATATACCAAATTATTTTTAATGAGTTTTAGAACCAGGAAGCATTAAACTACTTTGTAGCCACTCAGCAAATGGTAAGCAAAGATATTCAGTTAACAATTATTCAAAAGAACTTACAGAAAAGTCAACCTAATATGTCAAGAAAATAACTTCAAGAGTTTATATGTAAAAATCTTTGTTATTTAATCATTAGTAAATCTTCCTTAGGCCACCTTCATATTTTATTATCATGTCTTACCTACTACCAAATGTCCTTTCCAAAATGGCTTTAAAACAAAGCAAATCCTATTTTTCAGTTTCTAATAAAGCACTAAAATGAAATTCCACCCTCAAAATATAGGGAAAATTTTCAGTTTGAAGAAAATGTACTTAGAGAAGGTAATTATAGGACTGTGACTTATTTTACCACATTCACAAACTGCTATTCAAGAACGTCTGCTCCCCGGCACAGGCTGTAAGTCAGCACCCAACAGAAACTACGTCCTCCATCCTCTGCTGCAGCACCTGGCACGTGATGCTGCCCGGAGTGGGCGCTGAAGTCATTAAAACTGGCTTGATCTGATATACAGAGCTAACGCGTCTTCAAACTCATACTTATATTTCAGTTTCTACTTAAAGACAGTTTCTAAATCTCTGTGCAAACCAAAAAACAAAACAAAACAAAATAAAATGTGCTACCCAGACTTCATTTTTCTACGGAGAAGAATATGAAAGGTTAAAAACTAGGGTGGTTGGTTTTGTCTTTTTTTTTTCTGCTTACAAAAAACACAAACACTGCAGACTTACACAGTAGAAAAATAATATATTACAAGATTGGAAAGTAAAAGAATAAAGGAAATAAAGATAATCTAATTTACATTTTTTGATATTTCCTTAAGGATAACATACCAACTCTATTTTTCTTAAAAATAGGATCAAACTGTCATGCAACTCACTTTTTACTTCACAATACGTCTTAGGAATACATTTTTTCCTGTCTCTGTACAGGTCTGACACACTATTTTTAATGGTTGCATGATATTCCATTAAAGGCTGAGTTATTTTATAAGTTGAGAAGTGAGGTCATGCTGGAAGTGTACTACCATCCTTAAAAGGTCAAAGATGATATAATTAAGCAAAACTCATAAAAATAGTAAAATAAATGACACACAAAATTTTATATAGAATAGTAAAACAGTCAAAATAGTCAAAACTCATAAAAATAAGTAAAACAGCTTAAAAGTTCCTACAAATAATAGGGTCCAAATTTTCCTTTCTCGAATTTAGATGGGCCTTTAGTGCAATGCAGATCAAAACTGAAGACATGTCTATTTACCAAACATTCACTGAATGCCTACTTTGTGCTAGGCAGAGTATCAGACATAAAATGATAAGTGAGCCAATGGTTCTTTTTTAAAGGCTTACAGGAAACTAAGGGAAGGACATACAGACAAAAAAAATATGACTAAGGTACCGAAGGAACAGAGAAGAGAGAGCCATTACCCCTGCTTGGGAAAAGTGGAAAACACACTGTTAGAGGAGGCGACAGATGGTCGGGGTCTTGAAGAACAAGCAGGAACTTGATGGGTCCAGAAGAGATTGGGCATATGTGCCAAGGTCGGGAGACGCGATGAGCTGGGACCAGCTCAGGAAGTAGTAGTGCTGAAGACAAGGAACGAAGCCAATGTGGCATGGAGTAGGGCTGGAGACAGACACTGGGCTCAGACAGTGAAGGGCTCTGTATGTGCAATACTGAGGGATCAATCCTTATCTCATAGGCCTTGAGGAACAAGCAGAGCTCTTTTAGCAGGATAAGATTTGCTGTTTAGGTAGATAACTTTGGCAATGACCAGAGTGGAGAGTGGTAGATGGCAGAGAGACCAGTGAGGAATCTGTTTTAATAGTCCGAGCAAGAGACAGTAAACATATCTATATGTTTAGAAATACATAGAAAATGTCTGGTAATAACCCTGACTGGTGACTTAGTTGGCTGGACGGTGTCCCACAAAGTGAAAGAAAGGTCACTGGTTCTATACAGGTCAGGGCACATGCCTGGGTTGCAGGTTTGGTCCCCGGTCATACAAGAGACAACCAATCGATGTTTCTCTCTCACATCATTGTTTCTCTTCTTCTCTTTCTCCCTCCCTTCCCCTCTTTCTAAAATAAAAACAAAAATAAATGCTTTTTTTTTTAAGAAAGAAAATGTCCGACAATAAATAAACCAAACAGAAACAGTGGTTACTTTAGAGAAGTAGAATTGGGAGTGAAAGAAGAGGGAAAATTTTACTTTATAAACTTCTGAGGGGTCTGAACGTTTTGTAAAAAGTATGCATTACTTTTATAATAACAACAACAATGTTTAAAAGACTGTG